TCTGCTCATAGTCATCAGGCACAGTCATGTGCTAATTGCCAGGAAGAAAGGGAAAAGTATTGTTGGTCAAAATTGAGTAGTCTCTGCTGCGTTATGCTAATGATGAGCATGTCCACCTAATCTTCTAGGCTTTACGGACTGACTTTGACCAGTCAGCAGGGGTTTGGACCTTTCTTAGCCTCACTTGAGTTTGTAGAAATGCAAAGAGAAGAGTGCAACTAACAAACACCCTTTATTTTATTTATTTATTTTTTTTGTGGCTGGCCACAGAGATCAAACCCTGGACTTGGTGTTATCAGCACCGCACTCTAACTGAGCTAACCATCCAGCCCTAATGCTCTTTGAAGGTGTGCTTTGGCATGGACTGGCTCCCTTCTATCTGGTCTGAGTTAGTGACGTTTTGTCCTGAAAAGGAATGAACTGTTTCTCCCCTCACCATCTTCTTTGATGGATGTCACAGCAAGTACTTGGTATATGGGGGGGCAATTAATTCTAAACCAAGTTAGACTGTGTAAATAGTAGTTAAATTCCTGACCTTTGTCCAGACACAAGTGAGGAGAAGGCATGAAAGTCTAAGATGGTGAACTAGGTCAGTGATCAGAGATAGAGACTTTCCCCACTCCTTCCCCCAGGAAGTCCTCGGTCCATTTTGCTTATTGGTGTCAAATGCTATTATTCGTTCTCTTTTCCTTCCCTTCAGTGAATGTCTGAGTTAAATGAAAACTTCAGCTCTATTGTTCAAGCTCTATTGTAGACTTAGCTATGTTTCCTGGAGACAGTTTCTGATCCCAGTGTGAGTCCTCGTTTCCTTGAGGCTCTGAGGGGACAGAATCCGAGAGGTCACACTTGAAGCTGATGTGGGACATGAGGGAGTCCAGAGGTGGCCAGTGCCTGCCTGTGGCTGTTTCCACCCCAAGTCCTTGAAAATACCCTCACTTCCTCTGACCAGAACCTCTCTGCTTCTGCCCATGAGCTAAGATACCATGTGAAGAAAGAGTCTGCCTGTTGTTGTCTTAAATACCAAACTTAACTAATTAAATTTCTAAAGGTTGAAAACTGCCATAGGAGATAGAGTTAGAACTCAGAGTGACGTTGCTGGGGTGAGTTAGGAAGGCCAAGTGCATGTCAGTACATTGAAGAAAAATTTCAGTAAACTGAGCAGGAGGGTGAAGGACGTGATTGGCACAGGACCTGCTGGTGTGGCTGGAAGTGGCTTTGGAAGCAGCATCCTCAACATGGAGGAGTTTAAGAGGGAAGAGAGAACAGATGCCTGGCGAGCCCATGGCTTCCAGCACTGGCCTGCCTGCTCCCAAAGCAGAGCCCCATTAGGAGCTCTGAAGAGGGACAAGTGCCAAGAAGAAACTTAGAAGACAGTGCCAAGGTGAGCAGCGAGGCCTGTGAGGAAAGCCAGAGTGAGGAGTGGATCAGCTTTGAACTATAAGGAAAAGAAGAACTACTCAGCCCTGGGGGTTCTCCTTACGGTACCCACTTCACCCAGTGCTAACCAGGGGGCTGTTTGTGCTGTGAGGGGTTGTATATATATATATATAATGGTGCCAAACACTGACCCCCTCAGCCCTCAAGGTGGCCAGGCTGGGAGGGTGGGGGGAGGGGGACAGTCTGCACCCCTGGTGGTTGAAGACAGCAGCACACAGCATGCTCAGGGCATCCCCGTGTCAACAAATACCATCTTCTCTGAGTGTCACAATGTGAGAAGGTTTGGAAAGCACTGGATAAAGGTTTCTCTTCCCCCACTTTTTTGCTAATCCCCCAGTTCCCACCAATGACAGACGTCAAATAGGTCTGAACCTGACTTTGCCATTATCAGGATGCACATACACATTACTAGGATACGCCTTGACTTTGGTGCACTTTTAGTTACAGACTCCAAGCAAAAGCTCTCATGCAATTCTATGACTTTTTCATCCTAATCTGGGGAGGTGAGGGGAGAGGCAGGTAGTGGTAGGTAGAAACAGATTTATTATCAGGTATGAATACTCTGAGTGCACAGTGTGAACCCTGGAACCCACTAATGAGAGCCACCAACAACCAAGAGGCTATCACGACAACCGTCAAGCTCTGAGAGGACCCATATTGACAGAGGAGTTTGCCAATGGAGCCAGGGCTGGATCAGGTGTCTTCTCTGGCTTTCTTTCAGACTGCAGATTTTGTTATATTAGAAAGAAAAGATTGAGACACATTGGTGCTTGGCTTGTGACGGTGATCATATGGATTTTTTTTTTTTTGAAGCTCTATTGTCTTCAATATCTGAATCATTATGACAGAGATAACTGGAGAAATTTATTTATTTTTTATTATTATTTTTTTTTTAAAGATGACTGGTAAGGGGATCTCAACCCTTGGCTTGGTGTTGTCAGCACCACGCTCAGCCAGTGAGCAAACCGGCCATCCCTATATAGGATCCGAACCCGCAGCCTTGGTGTTATCAGCACCGCACTCTCCCGAGTGAGCCACAGGCCGGCCCGATAACTGGAGAAATTTAAAGGACAGTTCTAAATCCAGTAATAGGCATACCAATAAAATATTTTTTGAAAAATAAAACTTCTGTTAAAACCAACTAAAAAATTATAATTTTTATAAAAATATTTTTAAATGGATAAAATATAATTTTTTGTAATTTTAGATTTGTTGATGTGCTCTTAAGAAAAACAGGAAAATCCCCAGATGTCAGAGGCATAAAGGGGGCTGGAAGCTAGAGCAGTAAAGGCTGAGCTGCCCCGGGGGGGGGGGGGGGTTGGTGGGGCTGGATCCATCCTGGTAGTTTCAGAACTTGGCATTTGATGCTCATGCAAGAACAGGAGAGTCAGCCTTGAATCTCTGTAAGGGAGGAGTTAGAACCTAAGCTCCTGCATGAAGACAAGGCTCTTGAAGTCTGTACCCTCTTCAATAGGGGAGACTAAAAATATCTGCCCATAGAAGTTTGTCTATGTCTACCTGGTTTCTGAATGGGGGGAAAAGTAACTCTCAGTCCTTTGTCTGACTCAGGTTTGGGTTCTGAATTTACACTGTATGAGTGGTTCAGAAACTCCCAGAAGAAAAATTAACATAAAATTTGGTTCCAGAAACCAAAAGTGCAAGCAAACATAGATAAGTTGGACTTTGTCAGAATGAAAACTTACATGCTTCAAAGAATACTATAAAGAAAATAAGGGAAAAAAACTCAAAATGGAAGAAAATACTTGCAAATCATATACCTGACAAGTGACTTGAGGATATGAGGGTACTTCAAAAAGGTCATGGAAAGATTTGTATTAACTTTTAATTCTATTTTTCCCCAAACTTTGAAGTACCCTCGTATAAAGACCTCTTACAACTTCACAATGAAAAGACAAATGGTCCAATTAAAAGCTGGGCAAAGGATCTGAATAGACATTTCTCTAAAGAAGACATACAAATGGCCAATACGCACATGAAAAGATGCTCAACATCGTTAGCCGTTAGGGAAACGCAGATCGAAACCATAATGAGATACCACTTCGCATCCCTAGGATGGCTAAAATAAAAAAAAGATGGGCAACAAGTGTTGGTGAGGATGTGGAGAAATTGCAGGTTGGAATGTAAAATTATACTGATTTGGAAACAGGTGGCATTGCTTAAAAGGTTAAACATAGAATTACCATATGACACAGCAATTTCATTTCCAGGTATATACCCAAGAGAACTGAAAACAGGTGTCTACCTAAAAACTTGTATATGAATGTTCACGGCAGCATTATTT